GTATGCCAGGTAACCGCTCAGGCCAAACATCAGGAATCCCGACACCAAAACGACTAATATCCAAACATCTTCATAATCCTCTACACAGTGGAGAGAGACAGATCAAGTTCCACAGTTTCCAGGAGTCCATGGTATACCCAGCTGGCTCTGTCCCAGATGGGCATCCGGAAGCCCCATCTCCCGTTCTCATCGTTGAAAAGATTTTGTCAATCGCATTGAGAAAAAAACTGACCAGATCCATGTTTAATAATTTCCACTTACTAGAAAAAATGCAGAGAAGCGCAGTGCACAGGCAGACAGGACAGAGAGCCTTGGGAGGAGCAGGGGAGGGAGAGGAGAGGAGAAAAAAGCGTCTGTACACTTCAAGAGCTGGAAGAAGAAGGCACATGTGCACAAGGATATTTTAGCTGAATGGTAGCTTTTAAAGAATTAACACAAAGTACAAATACCTTAACATCACTAACTAAAGGTTTAACTGAAAAGCCTCTGCTTCACTGAAGCTGGAGGCTGAGTGTTGTGAAATAAAAAAGAGATGTCTGAGTTCATACACTCAGAGTGCAGCTACAGTGGCCTGTGACTCACTGCCAGCCTGTCCTCCATGACAGTTAATGAGCTGTTACCTCTTTTTTATCTGACCTCTCCTGCTGCATCCCCATCCTCTGTTTCACTGAAAAGCCATAAAGCAAACTGGATATCTTTCCTTCTGTCCTTCACTCGATGGTTATTTAATGAACTGTTGGGGTATAAAAGCAGAGAGAAGAGGAATTTGATGGGTATTAGCTTCTCCTCATCCTCTTCCCTTTCTGCATCACATGCTGCAAGGCATGTCAGGAGAAGACAAACTATGACATCCCTCCACCCCTCCTTCATGCCAGACAGTGAGAGGACTCTGATGGAGGGATCCAGAACAAAGCCAAAATGCGGGAGGGGAGAAAGATTCAGAGGACTTGGGTTAGACCATGGAAAACCATTCTGAAATAAAACACACTGAACATGTAATTCTAGGTGGTGTTATGGATAAACTGTCTGATGTCTCGGACATATCAGAGCTTTTACTCAGTCAGGTGGCTCAGCAGGGGGTTTATTAAAAAGGGTGTATTTATCTCTGACTTTATTTATGTTCTGTTCGGTTCTGCTCCATCTAGTCAAACTCCAAAAGTCACATAAAGATTATGTTTTATTTGTCCAATGTTGCATAGCAACTGATGTTTTGTATGCAAAGCAATCTTATAAGAAAACATTGAAACCTTTTTAGGAAACATGGATATATGCAGCATCCACAAGCGCTGCAATCTTGGTGTCATCAGAATCTCAATTAGAAGGAATATTCATCAAAACTGTAACTGCAGCCTAATCAAATGTAAAAATAAAATACAAAGCAGATTGTGAACCATAACAAGTGGTTTTGTTTTTAAATATAATAAGACTGTGGGAAAAGTACTAAACGTTTCAATTGAAAATGGAAAAAGAAACTAAAAATAATTTCTATTCCCTCATGCTGTTCAGACTTAAGTTTTAACTACATGTTGATAAAAGATGGAGTTTCATTTAAAAACCTTAAAATTAATATTATCCACAATATTTCACAAAGAATCAAGTTGTTGCATAATTTCTTTGTAATTCTAAGTATGTGTTGTGAATGATTCAGGAACAACCACATAAGTGTTTAGCTCTTCATAAAACTGGTTTTCCCGTTTGCAGTTGCTAATGTTGGTAAGTGGTGCAGCTATTTTTTAGTAGAGTCACAACGAATGTAGACGTCCATTCAAAGATTACTATAATTTTGTTGTGTAATTAGTTTGACTTGTATCAAACAGACATGGTTGACTTCAACAGCTAGAATAAGGAGAGAGTTTGTGTTGGACATTAGACTAAGTTTAATCAACCGTGTTAGCCATCTTGAATTTGATTGGCAGCTGAGAAGGACAGCCGTGATGACCTTATCTTACTGGACAACTAATAATGTCCAAAAAATGAACTCTGATAACATCCAAAGCATTGCTGCTACTACTCTATCAGTAGATCACGTTTCTAAATTCTGCAGGTTATCATGATTTCTTCATCCTGGAACCTCTGAGAGGTCAGTCGTTTGGATGAACTATCAAGTCATTTGTGTCTCCTCAGTTAACCTTGGTAGATTGTGTCAAAAAATTCATGATGACACCAGCAAGCACTAAGGATGCAGGCTGGATGGACACTAAATGGAAACAGATATGGGATACGTGTGTGTAGATTATCTGTCGTACAGGGCATGGTAATCTAGAAGGTTTGGTTAGAAACAACTGGACTTGTATTCTTCAGACAACCTCAGACAAGCTGGATAAAATCTGTTACAAGTTACAACTGACCGCAACGGTTCCTTCAGAATAAAAGCTGAACCTCATGACCCCTTCAGGGTCTCGGAGACGCCAGTGATAACTTGTCGTGACCTGGAAGCGTTCCAAGACTAGTTTGGTTAGCACCGCTGCTTTTCTACCGGCTTCGGTACCAAGGAGGGTCCACGAGGACCTCAGCATTCTGGATCTGACGGAGGCTTCCCCTGGGTACGTAGACCAACAGATGGCGTTTCATGTGTTATAAATCTCCTACTAAAGTTTAGAGCGAAACATTCACTCCTACTCTGAACTAACTGCTTCTCCGGATCCGCTGGTTCTGAATAACATTCCACACACACACACACACACACCATCATCATTCATCACGTCTCACTCCACCTTAGCCCATCAGTACACAGAGTGTTTAAGTTAGTCTTGTTTAAATTGTGTAGAAATAAATTTCTTAACTATTTTAAACCTGACTCTCTCCCTTTCTTTGGAGTTAATACGAAGTGTTGCTTAATCCCTGCAATAAAAAGTTCTGATCTTCAGGTTAAAATAGTCAAAGATCCATCAGATCGATATTTCATAATTCCATGGAATCTCACATTTCATGGTTCATAAGTAAGATGTAAACGACCCATTCTTTACATCATTTATCATCATTTAATTGGATGTTGGAACATATGACTCATGTAGAGAATGAGCCCCCTGAGCTAACTTTAATGACTCTTTTCCTCTTTTAACCGGACTCCTGCAACCTTACTCCATGCCTGTGTGTGTGTGTGTGTGTGTGTGTGTGTGTGTGTGTGTGTGTGTGTGTGTGTGTGTGTGTGTGTGTGTGTGTGTGTGTGTGTGTGTGTGTGTGTGTGTGTGTGTGTGTGTGTGTGTGTGTGTGTGAGTGAGTGAGTGAGTGACTCTGACTTGATATACCTCCCCAGTGGCCTCGAGCGGTCCTCAGACTGTGACAGGAAGAGTAATTGGCCGTCAAAAAAATCCGGACCCCTTCCCTCATTCGCCGCTCGCCTCCGGCAAGTGGAATTAGATTTCGAGTTGAACCTGGGACACTGAACACAAACTCTGTGTCCATGTGTGTGTTTGTGTGTTTGGTATCACGATGCTAAGTGTGACCTTAAAGATACATGATCGTCTTATCTGACTGTGATGCAGCCTGTTGACTCATGAAACATATTTCCTTATCCAGCTGTTTCCGAACTGTCTTATTTTTTACTCCAGCATGATTAACTGAATATAAATAAAAATCACAATCTAAAACCTGGTAACATGTATAACTTGAATTTGTGCACATGTTCTTGTATTTCCTGCCTCTTGTAATTTCATGGAAAATGCTCAAAATGTAATCTTTCATCACCATTTTCTCGAGTGAGTTATGAATATTTATGTCAGGCACTGATCTGATATCAGTCAGTAACAGCTGATCGCACAGCCCCAAAGCAGCTCTGTGAGAGAACTTAGATGAAAAACATAACTGAGTTGTATTGAGTTAAAAGCCTTGAAGTCCAAAAGCTCAGCCTAAAGCAACAGCCCTGAGCAGAAACCAGCCTTTACTAAAGCTTCTCACAAACAACTTTTTGTGTAATTCTTACATTTACAACTATTTTCATAAGTGTATTTGATTCAAACACAGTTATTGCAACAAAAAAGTGTAAATCCTGACTTTTTCCTTGTTTTCCAGATCACTCACAGTGCTTTATAAGTACAATCTAAATCACACGGAACAGTAAGAACTTATCAGTCACCCAAACAGATAATTCTAAGGCACCAACCCAGATGAAACATTTTATTTTGTGTGAGCAGGGCCTAGCAAAAAGTCAAATGTTCCTTTGCAAATAAATTTTCTTGATATTTCATTCACATGTTAAATAAATGTGTTTGGGTGTTTTTCTGTCACTCCTCTTGGCTCATAAACTCCTAGTATCTTATTCTTCTTTCAAACAAACATTTTCTACAAACACGTGGATGTGTACACCTTTACAATATCTGTTAAGTGATTTTGTGACTTAAAGACAAACAGTTATTTGTTTTTATGCTGTGTTGTTGGTTTGTTGGTTATTTGGCTGGCTGGTGAGGTATTTATTTGACTCACTTCGTTTTCATCTTCTGCCTTCGTAAACCGTCTGCAGCACCAGACAAACACGAGCTACCTCATCTGCCTTTAAATAAAAACATTTCCCAACTAGGGCCCAGCGTAGATATTATTTTTGAGATATTTTAATGAACATTTCTGACACTGATCTGAGAGTTGATGATTTTTTCCCCATTTAGATTCAATACTGAGTAAAAATATTTTAAAACAAGATAAATGAAAACAATGACATCACTTTTTTTTTTTGCCCGACAGAAAGCATCCAAAAGAAATGAAAATAGGAAAACATTAATGATGGTGAATGAGGCAGAACATCTGTAAATAAGATTTGAAGAAAGTAACTCGTTAGACCAAGATGGATGCCGTAAACTAACTTGTAAAAATAAATCTTCTAGTATTGATTTTTAAAAAATAAAAAAAATCAGTTAAAGTTTTAAATTTATGAAGGTATTTTTACTGATGAACCTTCACTGAACAGTACGTTTCAACTCTCAGTTTCCTCAATTGTTTGTTTACTGATATTACATAATAAAAAATAACAACTTCTCATTTTTCTCCTCTTTGTGCCATCTCTGCAGGCCCTCCTGTCAACGTAACCTGCAACATTTTTATCAACAGTTTTGGGTCCATAGCTGAAACAACAATGGTAAGTTCATCTATCATCCCTATCATTTAGCACCAGGTCTAAAAGTGAACATTTCCAACTAATTTATTTGACACTCCTGTCTGCACGTGGATGTTAATAGTTAGGTCTCTAATGGAAACTGTCTAGTCTCACCACAACTCCATTTCAGCTCCAGTAATTTCCACAGAAAAATGAAATAAATTAAAAGCAGTGCTAATATTCTACACATCCAAATTAAAAAAAGACCTCTATTTGTAAATTTATTTCCTTCATTGTGTCCATCTCTCAGCATCACCTTCATGGCGATTGAAGGAACACCACAGTGGCTGCAAAATGGCTGCGTGTTTGCAAGCAAGCAAGGAGAACTTTACACTTTGTCATTACATGGAAAATCCATTACTCTGAATATAGCAGAAGCCCCAGCATCCACCGAGCAACAAGGCTCACAGCAGATATTTTTGTGTTCGTTTGGAAAAACACTTCCACTAAAGCGTTGAGTCTGTCCAATTCCTCTGCAGGGAATCTGAGGTTAAACCACACCCTCTTAAAAGTTCTGCTCACAAGTCTATTTTCAGAAAAGTCGAATGATGCAAAAATAAAATGTTAAATTTGTTTGAAATTTCACTAAAAATCTTTTAGTACCCATAATCACAAGAGCATACGTTTGTGGTGTTTGGGACACATTTTTGGGTTGTTTGAGTTTCTTTTCAAGGAATAAATATCTTGGTTCATTTCTGTAAATGAGATAAACAAATTTAGAGAACGACTTACGTTACTTCTAAGGTTTTTGATGCCATAATAGTGCCATAATAGTGTTTATTTCATATACCATAATTGTAGTATTTCACACGCGCGCACACACACACACACACACACACGAGGGAGATTGTTTTGATGTTTGATACTAGCCTAAAGTTAAAAGTAGGTTAGCGAAAATGCTAGTGTATACAAAGCGGCATGTTGATGGATGGAGCAGATTTTTCTGCTTGCCATGCTCTTTCTCAAATGTAGAAAATAAACTTACATTAAGTAATTGTGTTTTTTCTATTACTTTTAATTATATTAATAATTAAATTAAACATATGTGTGTTGAGATGAGTGGATGAGATCCAGCCAGAGTTCTTTAAGGCTCTGGATGTTGTAGGGTTGTGTTGGCTGACGCAGCTCTGCAATGTCTCTTGGACATCCGGGGCAGTTCCACTGAATTGGCAGACCAGGGTGGTGGTCCTCATATCTAAACGGGGGGACCACGTGTGTGTTCCGACTACAGGGGGACCACACTCCTGAGTCTCCCTGGTAAGGTCTATTCAGGGGTTCTGCAGAGAAGAAGAAGAAGAAGAAGAAGAAGAAGGAGAAGGAGAAGGAGAAGAAGAAGAAGAAGAAGAAGAAGAAGGAGAAGAAGAAGAAGAAGGAGAAGGAGAAGGAGAAGGAGAAGGAGAAGAAGAAGAAGAACTTTCCTATAGCGCCTCTCAAGATAAAAATCACGAGGCGTTTCACAAAAACAAAAATGTAAAAATATTTTTACAAAATTTAGAAAATGATTAAATATATATTTTAAATGAGCAAAAAATAGACAATTGTGATTAAAAATGTAAAGAAAGCGAGAGTGAATAGGAAAGAAGGAAATCAGTGGATCCTGAGGGAGAGCAGAACAAGGAGAGAGGGATGAAGGTCACACAAAAGCCAGCCTGAACAAGTGTGTTTTCAGTTGCTTTTGTTTTTACCCATGTCTGTATGGCTCTGAAGAAAACAGAATTACTGTCTGAATGCTGGTGACCAGCCTTACAGATTCTACTCTCAGGTGGAGCATCAAAGCATCTGCTTTTAATGTCACGCCTGATACTTAAAACTTTATTGTTATTGTTTTTTGAATGCTTTGTAATTCCACAAAAATACACAATCAATGATGAACAAGACTCTGCTTCTAGGCCTGCAGAAGGACAGAGAACAAAGAAAAAGGGAAGGGACACACATCAATACAACAGGAGCTATCACTGCATCAACTTGTTGAAGAAATGTAAAATCAACATTGTTTTACTGAACAATCACACGATAATAAATCGCAGTGCATTTAGTGCCAACCACAGCCTTAAGACATGTGTTGAACATTTCTGTCTGAGGTGTTTTTGCATAGCAATGCTGCCCTCCCTGTGGAGGGTAACTCTGAAGTGCCTTTTTTTTCCTCCACCTGAACCAGTCCTCATGTAACCCCTCTGATCTCTATTAAGGTAGCGCGACTCAGGGTTGCGAATGATCACAGTCACCAATTCTTGTCATGTCTTGTCACTAGCCTGTATGTCTGATCTCTGAGTTGTGTGTACTGAAACTCTAATTTCCTTCTGGGATTAATAAAGTATCTTTGAATTTGAATCGGATTGAATTTAATTGAATTGAACATGCCCAAGTCCATACTTATGAGAGCACCATGTGAGCACCTGTGTGGTGGACTGGTGGCCACATGGTGGTAACCAGCCATTCATCATCATCATCATCATCACCCTTATTTATAAAAGCACCTTACAGACATATATCATGTCACCAAGGTGCTGCACAAGACTAAACTAAAAAGATAAAAACAAAGAATATATAGGAACCCAATAAAAAAATTAAAACAGCAAAATACAAAACATCAGTTAACACACAGATTTAAAAGTCAGATTATAATAATGGGTCTTCAGCGGCTTCTTAAAAACCTCTACTGACGTGGACAGTCGCACAGATAATGGAAGATCATTCCATAATTTTGGGCCTGCTACCGAAAAAGCCCTGTCTCCTCTTGTTTTGAGCCTCTTTTCCTCCCCATCCCCACACATTTTTCTCCTCCTGCTCCCTCACATCATCACACAATCATGCACATAGGACCTTGGGGGATGGACAAGTCAGGGGGTGCAGGTATGGACCCCATTTCCGCATTCCTGTGGCAACCAGCCCCCCAATTTTATTTGCACCTTAAACACTTCCACCAATGACATTCCACGCAAACACACACTTAGGGCCTTGGGAGTGAGCACATTCAACGGCATTTGGCAGGGGGGTTTTCAGCCTCATCCCGAGTGCCGGTGCCCACTTCCAATTTTAAACTGCACTTAGACACTGAGGGCTGTGGGTGCAAGTGGGGTAGTGTGGTGGCATCAGCTGGCGTAGGCCAGACGATGCCCGCACTGTCCGCTCATCACAGCCATGGAATACACCTCATCAACACTCACTAACACTATATTGGAGCAGGCGGAGGGAGGCTAGGGGTCTTAGCACACCTCTGTTGTCACTTGGCTTCCTGGGGCTGGAGGCTAGGAGGGAGAGCTGGCAGTCTGGTTGGGGTCTGGTGTGGTGGGTTGCTTTGCTCAGAGTTGGGTGGGGGAGCCTGCTCATCAGCACCCCAGCAGACAGGGTCGAACTCTGGGAACCGGTAATGGTTGTACCCCATGTGCAGCAGTACCAACACCAGAGTGAATAGGGTGTGTATGGGGAGCATAAGTGGGTGTCCGGCATGCATTTTTGTAAGTCCTAGGTTGTATGTGTATGTGTGAGCATGAGGGAGGGAGTGTGTGACTGTGTTTGTGTATGACTGTATATGTCAGGTGGGGCCTTTGACTCCTCTCTTCTCCTGGGACTTCTTTTGATGCTATACATCTTCATCTCCCCTCTCCCTGCCACACCTGGAGTGGAGTGCGGTGCCTTGGTCTGCCTGAGTGTTCATGGCTCCCCAATCAGGAGGTTTAAGAGTTTTGGCGTCTGCCTGATTAATCCCGGTGGCTGCCTGGTGGGATCTGGGTCCCTGGGCTCTGCTGCGTCTCCAGCGGGGCTGGTCATCCCTGGGTCCCAGGTCGCTGGGTTCGCCCGCAGCCTGTGGGCTTGCCGCTGATAGCTCCCGGGACTCTGCCGGCTGCTGGTTGTGCCCTTAACCCCCCCCCCCCCCCCCCTCCTTTTGTCTCTTCCTTTCCCTTTCACTTCTGTCTCCGTGTCTGGTCGAAATTACAAGAATCAAAAACAATAACAATAAAGTTTTAAGTATCAGGCGTGACATTAAATGCAGAAGCTTTGATGCTCCACCTGAGGGTAAATCTGTAAGGGTTGTCACCAGCATTCAGACATCAATTCTGTTTGCTTCACAGCCAGACAGGACACGGTAAAAAAAAAACAAAAAATAAAAAAAAGTGACACTGAACTGAAAAGTACATATCAGTTTCAGGTTAGTTACAAACAAAATAGTTTATTGATAACGATTTATCTTTCTCTGTTTGTTTAATTTAACAAAATTGAGAATTTTATGTTTATTTTTTGTAGTTATTAAAATGTCTATTCCTGATTTGCTTTGCATATTTATTCTTTTGACCCTGCTTGTCGGCAGCATCAGTTTTCATTTCATGCCCATGCTTGTAATGTCCTAAAATCACCTAATGATAAGGCCGTTTCCCTTTTGTAAATTAACACAGCATCCCTCTGTGCAGCTGGCTTTGAGACCACATGGTAAAAAAGAATCATAAAAAGCACATCTCAGCCTCTTGGTGCAGCATTGTCGTAGCAGAGCAGATGCTACACCATAATGTGCGAGCGTCCGTAACCTCCTCCTGCTACCTGAGCAGATTCCAGGGAGGCGGCAGGATGTTATGACAGGCGTGGAATTAGAATATGGCTGCCGATTCTTCTGGAGTCGTTGCAGTTGTTGTTGATGTTGAAGGAAGCAGAAAAAGAGAAAGACGGGGAGGAGAATTTGTGTTCTTCATGCATGGTTTACTACTTGAGTTTAATACATGCAGAATGAGTGTGTTGCAGTGTAAGTACAGCACTTCCTCTGCTAATGGTTCCATCACAGCGTGCCAATGGAAGATGATAATTTAAGGGTGGTGTTTAACAGCCCAGTGGCCTCGTGTCTCACCCTCAAATGGACGTGAGAGCTGCCTGAGTGTCAATAACATTTTTAATAACGCAATTACTCAAATGAGTCACATGCACCCTTAATGATAAACCATACCCTGAGATGACTCATTTCTCATTCATATTACTTTTCTCTCATTTTATTC